GGCTGGGCCCGAGGGCTTTGATCAGTCATCAAGCCCGACTGTACCTCGCTTGAATATGCTTCAGACGATCCCCAACATTTTTTTTGATTTTGAATCAAACTCGCTTCATTCTTTGGGTGATCTCGAGTGTGGACAATGTCGGCCTTTCGTTTGGGATTTCAGAGCAGCCTGAAGTCTAAAGTGCATGTCGTTTTCGTCCCGTTCGTAAGTTTCACACAGAGATTACAGCAAAGGGAAAGTAATGTAAAACCTGTTTCGTGAGAAATTTCTCAGGACTCCGTGTCAAGAGCCAGACGTGGCTGAAGAGTCACGGAAGTATTTTCACTTCCACCATGCACGCCTTGCTCACGCTGCATACTGCTGAGAGTTCTGCGGTGCTGGAGCTAGATTTCCAACTCCACAAGTTGAGAGCCACCGCATCCCCGACCACCACCCCTATCGGTTTCTTGTTCTTATAGCCAGATCACCTTGTAAAGACTGAGATTGGGCATGATCAGGGCTTTGATGGTTTTGTCGTACAGTTGCCAATGGCAGCGGGCTTTGATGGTTTTCTCGTACAGGTTGTCAATGACAGCGGGCTTTGATGGAATATCAAAGCCCGCTCTCCGAGGCTGCTGATTGGTCGTAACCTAGCAAAGGGCACGTGGGTCGTTTGAAAGTTGATTCAATGCATGTTTGAGGCACTGTGGTGCATCACGGGTGTAAATGCAAAATAGCAGTGGGCCGAGCACGGAGCCTTGTGGGACGCCTCTTGTGCAAGGGCGGGCCCCACCTAGCTCTTGTCCTACTCTTACTCGCTGGACGCGTCTGGTCAGGTAGCTTGCAAACCAAGCAAGTGCAGTGTCAGCAATGCCAAGCATCTTCCCGTGGTATCTCGCCGTGACTTGAAGTATGGCCCTTACTTTGAACCAAATGACTATGTATCATAACAGTGCAATCTTCGTCAATTCTCTAGTCCAACTATTAAAATGCAACTTGTCTTCCGAGCTCCATCGCTCTCAAACCTTGACTGGATTGAAAGGCAGCATTTTGTTTTTGGTATAGCTGTACCTTGGTAATTGTATTCAGAACGCAGTTGCGTCGATCCCCAAAATGCGTAGATGTACCTGGGATAAGTAGGATATTGACCCGCGTACTCGGGTGTTACCGTACCCTCATCCCTCCTGCTACGCAGGATTTCTACCTGTGTTTTAAGGCCGATTCACAATACAACTTTCTGCGACGCGACACGCGATTTGCGACAGTTGCGACAAGAAACTGCCTGTCGCGAGCTGTCGCAAGCTGTCGCAAGCTGTCGCAATGCACCTGTCGCAGAAGTTGAAGAAAGTTCAACTTTTGCGACATGCGACACGCGACATACACAAATGGAGTACAGTTTCGACCCTGGGTGCACGTGCAGTGTACGTGCAGTGCACGTGCATAGTACTACTTGTGCATGAGGATGTCGCAAACATGAAGGATATTGTGAACCGTGTGTCGCTGTCGCAGCTCGTCGCATGTGTCGCAAGTCGCATGTCGCGTCGCAGAAAGTTGTATTGTGAATCGGCCTTAAGGCCTCGGTCACACTACGGCAGTTTGAAGCTGGACGCAGCGTCAAGCCGCAGCACTTGACGGAGACGCGGGGTCACACAGTAGAGAGGTTTTGCATTCCGAATTTCGGAATGATTTTCGACTGTGCTTTTCCGAAAAAAGCGCGTTCCGAAAAACGGTATTTTCAGTGTTTTGCATTCCGAAAATCTGATTCGACTTCGTTTCCAAGGGTTGCCATGCAAAACAAAATGGAGAGCGTCGAAGGGGTTGAGCAGGATCAAATCCATGTGCGCAGGTCAAACTGAATTATTTGGGTGCGGTTCGAAGACGAGGACGGACTGATGGTGGACCAAGTGATCCAACAGCTGAAGACGAGGTTGGCGAACTACTGTCTTGTACTGTCAGTAGGCTCCATGGCAAAGGAAGATAGAGTGTGATGGAGTGTGAGAAGATTAGTCAACATGGCGAGATCAGCGAGAGCAGCAGAACCAGCAAAAATCAAAACTACATACGTGGAAAATTTTTCAAATAATCGAGAGCAGCAGAAAGCAAAAATACAAACATGAAAAATACACTTTTTTGTATTCAAATATGCACTCCCAAACATGAAAGAGCCGAAAATACATTTTCGGAAAACCATGCACTTTCGCCACCACACTTCCGAAAGTTCGACTACTTTTTCGACTGCTGCCGCCGCATTCCGAAAATAATTCCGAAATTCGGAATGCAAAACCTCTCTAGTGTTTTGTTTTTTTTGCAGCTCATGACTGCCGCGGCTTGACGCATTTGTCTACGTCACAAAACCACCAGGAAAACTCAATGACGACACGGATTCCCACGGAAACCGGCCTTTTGCTTATTATACAAAAAAATTGTCGGACAAAGTTTTCGAATTTTTCATTGATTTTTGATTACAAGAAGACGAAAGGTAGGTCCACGCGTGCACGATCGTTGTTGTTTCTTTCCGAATTTGAAGCCATTTTCAGTTGTAGTGTCATTGATCAGGCAAGAAAAGTCCGCATCGCAGCTGTGTTTCTCCTGACTTCGTCATACTGGTTGTCCTTTTTGGGGCTCTTGACGACAACACAACACTCACAAGTCGACAGGCTCCAGTTGGCCGATGACCCACTCAAACAACTGGTCCTTTCTCGACATCATTTTCTTCTCAGAAAACGCCTCGCTCTTCCGCCAGGTTCGGAGCAGAGCAGCCTCGGCCTCGTAGGTCCACGGACTCATCTCGAACAAAAAGAGGGAACAAAACAAACCTTGAAGAGACGAATGTCGAATAACTGCTAAACTCAAGCAAAGTGTCTTGAAACTAATTTTACTTGAAAGACACTGTTTTTCCGCCAAGCGTCACTCCCATCAGCGGCAACGCAGCCGATTTCCCCACGTCAGACGCAGCAGCGTCTGACGCTCAAATTTCCCGCGTTGCGTCAGTTGCCATGGAAAAGCTCATGATTCTGACGCTGACGCAGCATTTTTGCCGTAGTGTGACCGAGGCCTAAGGGCGCGTTTGGTTGGTACGAACTAGAACAGGATTCACCAGAACAGCGCGTTTGGTTGGGACTGCACCTGTTCTGGGTCGGCCAGAACATGTTCTGCTTGCTCCGGCCTCGAGGCCGGAGCAGACCGAGCAGTTTCACTTTTTCACAGTGAAGCCTGGCGGGAACATCGATTTTGTTCCCAAATGATCACGTGCATACGCTTTTGGGTTAGACTCGTCGTACCGTACAAAGTGACCATGGTGATCCATACACATTTTGAAGAATGCACGAAGTTTAGCACATTTTTCCACAAAAATGTGCTCTGTTTCTGGAGTACCGTTTGGTTGGCATGAGGCTGCTCCATGTGCACCAGCTGTTCGATCCTGTTCTAGATCGTACCAACCAAACGCACCCTTAGGCTGCATTCGATTGTAGAAACTGGATCCCGATCCCCGCCGACCAGATCACTTCGATCGGACGGATACAATCGAATGTGCACAACCGATAATCCGTTTCAAGGCCTTAGCAACCGCGTTGCTACAGCTCATCCCGCAGTATCTCTGTACGCGTTGTGGTAAACTCTTGACCTAGTGTACGCATATTGCGAGTTTTGAGTAGATACGAGTCGTACTATCGAAATGAATCCGTCGAATCCGTCTCTGGGAGGTGGGTTGACTGGATCCGAATCCGTGCTCTCGGGATCCGGATTCGTACAATCGAACATGCACAAATTTGGCGAATCCGGGTCCGGGGCTGATGGATTCGTACAATCGAACATGCCCTAAGGCTGCAACCACACTAGGTACAAAACTGCGTAAAAAAAAGAAAAAAAGTCGGGATGATATTCGGGAGGTAACACCCTCGTACTTGGGTATACCGGTAATATCCTATACACAGACCCCAAAACTTCAGCGTGCCAGCCTTCCTATCTCGCTATACACAATCAGCGGGCGCGAAGAAACTGCTCTGTTGCACCAACAGTGCGGTGGAATGGGGTGGGGGGGGGGGGGAGGAAGGAGAGGAGATTGAGCAGGTGCCGCCAAAAATACACCAGGGCCAACGGACAAAGCAAGTCCATCAGGCTGGGTCAGCGTATGCTAAGCGGGAAGTCAGTGCGTGCACCGCAGGGGGCAAAATAGCGTACAACTCTAAGCAAACCGGTGCAACTGCCGACCAGCCAAAAGGATGTATCGGCTGATACGCACATGAACTGAATTGTGCCATCGTACTTCGTGAGTGCGCTACACTCCCGCCAGAAAAAATGAAAGCAGAAGGAATTTAATAGAGCAATGAAATTACAGTAATTAAGGTTGCGTTTGGTTGGGCATTTTCAGAATGTAAATGAGAACCATTCTGGAATGGGAATCGGCAAGAATCACCTGACCAAACTAACGCGCCAGAATCAATTAGGAATCACTTGACATAGCAATTCCATGATGTCGTTGTGGAACGGCGGCTGTCTTTTCTTTTACCCGACTCTAGTTTCCTTGAGAGAGTCAAGGTACTTCTCTGTGCATGATTTGAGGCACTTGAACCTGTTGCTACATTGTTTGGCTCGTCGCAGCCATTATCATTTTTGATTCCGGAATGAGAATGCTCATTCCAGCATGTGAGGTGGAATGATCATTCTCCAAAAAGAATCATTCTCAGCGATTCCCATTCTAGAATCATGTGGAATGTGACCAACCTAACACACTTTTTTGACCAACCAAACGCGCGAGAATGATTCCGAGTGATTCCAAGTGATTCCCATTTGGGAATGTGACCAACCAAACGTAACCTAACTGTGCCCTCACGACATACGATTACAGTGGAGAAATTAGGTGAAAGAATTAAGTTCTTCAAAATTTGGTTTTCTGTCGAAGGGGCGACATGCAATGGGAGGATTTAGCAGAGGGTTTGTTTATGATTAATTATACGTATTGTTCTCATACTTTGCATACGTATTGTAGCTGAAAATATGATGGCATGTCTTACAAATGACTAAATATCCAATAGACAAGCCAGGATTCCGTCTGTTGCTTGGGCCGCAGCCGACCTGCGTGGTCTTGCTCTCGGCTCGGCTGTTGCTGTGGGTGAGGCGTCGGTTGTCGACGGCGGAGCTGCTGCTGCTGCTGCAGGGAGTTCGTCGTCCATCACCGGTGGGGCTTCGGCCGGAAGCTCTTCGGCTATCGACGGTGGAGCTACTTCGAGGGGGTAGAGACAGCTCAGCGGACGTGAAACGGTTGTTCCCGCAGCTGTGATGACACGCGCTGCCCTAACCTTTCCATCTGTCTCGCTGCGAATCAGTTGCGTGATCTTGCCCAGTCTCCAAGATCCCCTTGGCACGCGCTCATCTTTGATCAGAACAACTGAGTGCACTGTTGGCTCAAAGATGGACTTCCGAGATTGGCAATGCCCGGTGTCGGACCGGAGGATTGGCAAGTACTCCTTCTCCCATATGGTCCAGAACGTATCCAGACTTGCCAACTGACACTGCCACGTGTGTAGCATCTCTCTGGCTGGATCTCGGTGTGGTGCAAAGTCGATGTCCTCCAGTGTCGCAGAGGGGATTGGAATACCAAGGCTGCGTCCGTTGGCAATGAAGTGGGCTGGCGTAAGTACCACTCCATCCAGGCTGTCTTCCCCACCCGTCCCGTGTGTTAGTTAGAGTAGTAGGTGTAGGTTAGAGGGCGCGTGTTGACGATAGCCTCCACCTCTGCCAACATTGTTGTAAGTTTGCCCTTTGTGAGCAGCCTTCACTTATCCATCATCTCGATGACACCCTTCCTTTGGCCCGTCAACACGGCGCTAGTCTCATTCTTGCTGGGGACTTTAATGTTCACAACCGTGCCTGGCTAAACAGCTCTAAGACCACACCGGCGGGCGAAGTACTTGAGGACACTTGTGCCGCGCACCTTCTTACGCAGCACGTTCAGACTCCTACTCGTGGCGACAATACCCTTGACCTCGTGATGTCTACCTTCAACTCCCCAGTATTGACAACCGGCACACCCCCTCTTGGGCGGTCTGACCACGTTATCGTTCTATCCGACTTCGTAGGCATATTACCTTGCCACGAACCTACAGCAAAGCGAACTGTCTGGCGGTACAAGAGCGCAGACTGGCATCGCCTCCGAGCTTTCCTTCGCAACTCTCCATGGCACGACATCATAACTGATGACCCGGACACCTCCTGTGAGCGGGTAACCACCACGATCAGAGGCGCAATAGCCAGGTTTGTCCCATCTAAGGAACTTACCACGAAGCCGAGTGATCCAAAATGGTGGACACCGGAATGTACAGCTGCTATGAGGGAAAAGGACAAACGTTGGCGTTCCTGGAGAAAACACCCGAACGATCTTTCACTCAAACAAGCTTTCCTCCGCTCCGTTACCACAGCCGTCAACATCCTAAGGCGATCCCAGGAAGCTAAAGAGGCCAGTATCCGTCACAGCCTGTCCACGGGCTCACTCAACGGCAAAGAATGGTGGACCAAGTTAAAGTATGCTAGTGGGGACGGACGTAACACGGACATTCCTCTCATTGTTGATGCGGGCAGACGGGAGTTGGCAACAAGCCATGAGAAATCGGAGGCCTTTGCCACCTTCTTCTCCAGGAAGTGCAGTGTCACTGGCCAGGATCTTACTTCTGACGACTTACCTGACCTTGTTGCAACCGGAGCACCGGCACTCGCAGCCGTTCATTTTCGCCCCGCCACTGTCTACCGTCTGCTAGCGCGACTCGACATATCAAAGGCGACTGGACCGGACGGCATTTCAGCCCGGGTCCTGAAAGAGTGTGCCAAAGAACTTGCGAAGCCGTTGTCCCAGCTATTCGCTCTCTGTTTCAGGTGCGGAGTTCAATCAGAATCTTGGAAGACAGCTAACGTGGTACCGATCCACAAACGGTCCTCGCGCTCTGTTCTGAAAAACTACCGCCCAGTCTCGTTATTATGCATAATGTCCAAAGTAATGGAAACTATTGTCAATCGCCAACAGATGAACCATCTTGAGCGCCAGCAGCTCCTCACTCCCCACCAGTTTGGGTTCCGTAGAGGTCTCGGCACGGCAGACGCACTACAGGCGCTTCATAACGCCTGGGTGGACATCGTTGGCCAAGGTGGCGCGGCACGAATTCTCGCAGTCAATATGGCCGGGGATATTGACCGGGTCTCCCACGTGGGCCCCCTCTACAAGGTCCGGCAGCTCGGCATTACTGGCACTCTCCACTTTGCGGATAGAGTTTAGTAAAGTGATGGGCCGCAGACTGGTTACAGGCCCCTTGGGCTTGTTAGGCTTAGCGAGAGGTATGAGTATTCCTGGTCCAATAGCCGTCGATAAATTGGCACCCTGCGAGAACCAGCGCTAGCACCTCGGATCCATATTTCATGAGCTCTGCTGGGATTTTATCCGGACCACAAGCGAGCATAATGCTAGCATGAAAAACACTGCATTTTTCAGAAAAGTAGCGATATACTCCTTTTGGAAGTGTTCGCCGTTGGTACAGTGGGGCGGCTAGCAGCGTTTTTGCAAGGAGAGGAAACACTAGCCAATCCCACTCAAACGGCAAGACTAAAGCTTCCTCAAGACTGCATGTAGAAGGTTGGGAGAAGGACATCTTCTTCGCGAGTATTTTCCTTGCGTCAAACAACGGTGCTCTTCGGATGCGTAGCCGCTATGACTGCACGAAAGATGTCCTGAGTAGCCCTTTCCCAAGCTCGCCACTTTTTTCGCAACTTTTGGTTGTTTTGGAAGAAATCGCAACTTTCGCAACTTACTTTATTTTCACGAACTACTTCGCAACTTTTCCGCAACCGTAAGCAGAGAAGCGCGTTGGAGGAGATCATTGAAGTGTCCGTCCGTGATGCTCCCCTTCAACAAGAAGCGCTGAAACATAATCATTGCATCAAATCATCATGACAAGTGTACTTCTGGAAGAACATGTACAGTCGTCCCTCTCTAATCCGGCACTTTATAATCCAGCACCCTCGATAAACCAGCACAATTTTCAGTAGCCAAAATGTCCTCTTCATGCACATTGCAGCAGTAAATCAGATTTGTTAATCCAGCACCCTCCCTAATCCAGCAGATTTTCGTGGCACAAATGGTGCCGGATTATAGAGGGACCACTGTACACTATTATTATAATGTACAATCATGACATGTGTACATGTGCATGCTTTGTTGGTAGACAGTACATGTATGTTACAAGGCGGAGGAGCACTGTGTTCGGAACACAGTGACCTTACTACAGCGATCCACGGTGGGCAGAGCCCAGGTCTTGCGACCATTTGAACCGGCTCTGCCAACCGTGGATGGTTGCTGTAAGGTCACTGTCACCGAACACAGTGGTCCTCCACCTTGTTACATGCTGTCAACCTACAACATGTTTTCAACAAAACAAAGTTTTAGTTTATCCATGTACATGTACATGTTACATGTATAATGGGGCTGTTAAGTGATGACGTCACAGTTCCTTCGATACGCATAACAACGATCCCACTGGGGACAAACAAAAGTAGCGTCGTCTCCACCGACCCAGTTGTCAGTGGCAACATATAGGAATCGTGTACATTTCTTCGTTTCTTCTTTGCTGTTTTCAGTGAGTGTTTTGTTTTCTCTTTGTCCTTGATCTCGACGATGTTGTCGTGCTCATTACCTTACTGAGACGTCTCTTGTGACTGTAGCCAGTATCACGGAGGATTTTATTGGCGTGACAAGGTAGATCGCCGAGATCGAGCGTGAAAAACGCTCTGCATTAGTAGCTCCTGTAGAATGTTTTCTAGGTTGGCGTATCCATGGTCAACAAAACCAAGGTGCAAGACAGCATGAGAGATCGTGTAAACGATGTGAACTCCAAAAGGTAAGCTCCTGAACAAGTGGAAAGATATGGGTATTTACAAACTCTCTTTTCATCCATCGATTGCCGCTATGCATTGCATTTTGTCTTCACAGATAATCTGGCCAAATTTATTGTAACTAGAGAGTGCAATCGTGCACTGCTTGGGGCCCATCCCAATGTCATCACATGGCTGTGGTGACTAGTGTATATCTGGGAGAATTTTTCCTCGACTGGTACGGAGTGCAGGTGGATCGATTATGAGAAATGCGAACATGTGAAGTAAGTAATTAGTTGTGTCGAAGAAATGTGCAATAAAATATAATTTACTTTACACTCAAACATACACTGTAGATGTACATGTAACATCATGATAATGATTCTATCTTCATTGTCCCGCAACTGGTACACCATACGCACCGAATACATGGTGTGTGTGTGTGCGCGCGCGCAAGCGCGCGCATGTACATGCACACACTCTCATGCGTGGCCGAGTCGGCCAGATGAACAGACCATGCATTTACACGAGGTGCCCGTAATGTCATTGGAGCGCTGTACTTTATGACTTTATTCCAAAAGAGTATGCCTTGCCCCTGACGAATGGAGTTGTGTCTGTGCTCAGCTGGTATCGGGCTATGACGCAACACTGCAATCAGCGCTGCAATTAAAAGAGCACTGCATGGATTATTTTGACTAACTTCCTTTGCGTTTACTTGGTTGAGCCCGTGGTTTCATTTCTGTGTTCTGTCATGATTGGCCTCTGGAAATAATCAGAGTGGATGTCATTTTGCCATTATATGTGTGCCTTGTGCGACAGGTTCAAGGCTAGATGCACTTCACATTCGGCGTGCGATCTCAGCGTCTGGGACCTGATGAAGTCTTGGTTGGATGATTATTCAAGCCTGACACTACTCGACACACCAATGTTCATGTCAATGTAATTTTGTCAGAGCTGCACTATTTACGTGTTGATGCTTACTTCGGTGTTAGCGTGTTTCCCCCGGATTGTTTCTATCATCATGATCGTGTGTTCTTGGGCTGAGCGAGCACATGCACAAGTGTGCAGCTATAACCCTGTGTATCTTTGGTTACACTTTGTTCTGCAATGCATGTACCTTGTAACATTATGTGCTTGCACTGCTTTGTCTGGCCTGCGTATTTCAGGACTATTCAGTGCATTAGACCCAGGTTTGTTCGGTTGCCGGATGATCTCTTGTTGCGTCGCTCTCACAAGCCCTATATGACAAGCTTCTTACTGCCAGCCGCGTAGCATTAAAGAGAATATTTTCGTTGGATAGAATGACTCCCACCACTCTTCTATACAGTCATACTAACTTGTACGCCCTTGAGAAACGCCTCAACTTCAAAACCTATGTATTTGTTTACCGCTGCCTGAATGGACTTGCTAGTCCTCTTCTGCGAGACCGCTTTACCTTGCGCGCCCATGGTGCTCGCACTGCAGCCACCACCCGTGGCCAAGTCTCTGCTGCTCTTGTTCTGCCCCCCGCTAACACCCGATATGGCTTTAGTGCAATTTCTTATTTGGGCGCTGCCAGGTGGAATACACTTCCACCGGCTTGCCGCATGTCTAGTTCACCAGCTGAATTTCGCTCATCCATCAAATTATACCTAGGGTTCCCTGTAAAAAGGCGCTGACGCCTGTTGGGAATTCC